TTCCTTGCTGGCCAATGCCATTTCTCAGTAGAGCAATTTCATTATTGCCCTGGTGGTTGCTGACTGGGTCTCTGGCGGTCTGAGGTGGGAGTAATACGCTGCCCTTCTGCTGCGGGATCATTTGGCATTCGCTGTGGGGATGTGTCCAAATGAATGTGCAAGCAGCAAATGGAGATGCCCACCCCCTGCCTACGCGTGAGCTAGATCAAGAAGCAAAACTACCCCCAGTTTGTATATAAATAGAATTGTATATAAAAACCCAACACCGTTAGCTTACACAAATTGTGTATGCCAATCATTCTAAAAATTCTTTCCAAGCAAGCAAATCCTCCATAAATCTAAGAGATAATCAAGTACAATGTCTTGCGGTCACTTTACACCTTTGGTGACCCTATCAAAGCATGCCAGTGCTTTGCCAAAATCCATGACTCTGTTTGCAAACTTTAGCTGTTCCGGAAAGTTTGTGCACCTGATGCAATGTTACTTTTATTAAAACTCCTGCTTCTTTTAGTTCCTTCTTTTAATTTAGCTAGGGTCAAGCCAGGTTTCTAGCCACTGGAATAATGTTGAATGTGAAGAACAATCACTACTGGAATGATACATCTTGTATCTTGTCCTTAGCCAGAGAAATTGATACTTCTCAAAGATACGGGGGGAAGAGGGAAAAGCCATAAACTAATAATTTATTCCCAATATTTTAAATCTTTCAAGAATTAAATGTTTTACATTCAATTTCACAAAATTTTAAGACAAAGTGAAAATGTAAAATTATTCAAGGCCATTCCCCTCTGAAAATAGCTGTCCTCCAAAACCGATTAATACTTACAAAGAGAAAGGTTGTATTCCTGATAACAGATACAATAGGTTCTAGTTTCATCGATGCTTGCAATCTGAATGATATCAAAGCATGTCACAAGGTATTTGTCAGACTTTTTGTCTTCACCTTAACAATCCCAATTCACTGATGAGTGAGCTTTCCCCTGGGAAGTTGCAAGGCTGTGTGAAAAGAGGAGCTCCTGGGTTTTGCCTGTAAAGAGCAAACCCACACCACAACTGGCAGTAGACACCAACCCGTTGTCAGCCTCCATGCATGAACGTGCATGAAGGGAGACGTTTAAGAGAGCGAAACGCTCCCTCAGGCCAAAGGGACCAAGTCACGGTTCACAAACCACATCCAGCCACGAAGAGGTTGGCCAGCAATCACCGAGGGCGCAGGCTGAAATGAACAGCCAAAACTGTTTTCCAGGTTCAGTAGTTCTTCTTTCTGATTAAGAAAGAGGACATAGCAGGAAGTTTGACAGGCCAGGCTGCTCTTATTTAGAGAAAACTGAAGAAGTTTCAGAAACTACATTTAAGTTGGTAATTTTGTCTGGGGATGAGAAGAGGGTTCTACCTGTATTCAAGCAGGTGGAGAACTCGCAATGCATTTTCTTTAAACTTGATTTCTCCTACAGCAAGCCAACTTGTGTTGCACAGCCTTGTTCACCGCTTTCCTATTCTGCTCACACCACAGAGTCTTTTGTAAAAAGACCAAACGCCATCCAGAAAAATCAGTGAGGTTGCCTTGTCCCAGCTGCTCTGAAGTTTGCTCCAGGATTTCAGTTGTCTGATGGCTGCCAAGGCCCAGTCTTAATTTATTCCACCCTCTCTCTGGGTTAAGAATATCCCCCCTAGTTATTTATCATCAAAAAGAAGAAAACAGATTTTTTGCATTACAACAGCCAATGGGATATGTAATACTTTCTATTTCAAAACTTACCCTGAGTAACTCCGCATGAAGACCTCCTGCAGCCCTATACGTCCCTTCTCAATGCTGTTACAAAGGCTTATGTGTTTCTTTGAAACTTCCCATTTATGTGTTTCTCACAAACTTTCCGTATTTTTTGTAGACATCCCCATTTTTTGCAGTTTGTTTAGCAGCTTCCCAAGCAGTCTGAGATCCGATGCTTTCCTGAAGGGTGGGGAGATAAAATCTATTCCATTTCCATAGTCTAGCAATGGCACTCTTCCATCCAGGAGAGCTATGGAGTGAGTCCTACAGCACCTGGTTTTAGCCCATATGCTTTCTTTTGTCCTGTCTTTCATTCACATCTGTATCTACCTCGATCGTATGAAAAGCTTCTTTACAGTCCTGCACATTTCTGGGCTTGCAGTAACTATATATGGCTGTTAAGCTCACCTTATATGTGTTTGCTCTTGAGTCAAATCTTACTAACACCGTCTCAAGTAACCGATTACGTTCCCCACCTGCTAGAGATGCCCACAATTTTGGTAGTCATGGTTTGGCATGCCTACCCTGCCCGAGGCTGCTCTGGCCCCTGTGGCGATGGGAGCAGTCC